TAAATTGTACCTTGAGGCACAATTTACCTTGTAGGTAAATTGTATTGCAGTAGGGTTCACTCTAATATCATCATTTTAGTTGGAAGCAGGGGAGGATGTGTCACAGGTGCGATAAGGTGAGAATGATTCCTCCAGGGTGAAGGGCGTCACAGTGGTCGCAGTCCCTCAGGGTGAAGGGTGTTTCAGTTGATCGAGAAATCATAAAATGCCGACCGGGGGGAGGGGGGGAGGAGAAGGTGATGGTGTTTTGTTATTTTCCAAATAAAAAATTATCATTTTAAATTCTCTGCCATCATTGGCTGTCTTTTTACCAAAATGTGAAAACTGCCCTATATGTTTTCAAAAATACCATAGAAGATGTGTATGCGAGAACATCTGTTTCGGGAAAGAGGTACAATTTTTAAGCATTTACGAATTTTTAAAAGGAGAAATTCGTAACTTTTGTAGATGAACAGCAACGTCAGCAAGGGGAATGTTTTTTCAACCATCTTGTCTTCCGCTTTTTGAGAATTTTTAGTTTGCCTGGAGTCTGTTGAAAAAGTGCCTGGTGAAGAGTGTGGGTAGTGATTCCTGGATATTTACGAGTTTTTAGGATAGAAAAATGCGTAAGTTCTGGAGATGAACATCTTGAACACCTCGATGATCACCATTGAAACCGTCTCGTCCTCCGCTTTCAGAAAATATTTACATTGCCTGGAGTCCGTTAAAAAAGTGCCCGGGTGAAAGGTGCTTTAGTGATTTCTGGAGATATTCGATTTTTTAACATAAAAAAATTCATAACTTTTGTAGATGAATGCTTTACGGCGAGATGGTCACCGTTGGAACCGTATCGTCCTCCGCTTTCAGAAATTATATACTTTGCCTGGAGTCCGTTGAAAAAAGTGCCCGGTTGAAGGGTGGGTGAGGCTTTTATAATGGGAGTGCTTAGGTAGACGTCTTTTTACAATGGTAAAAAAGCCTGTTCTTGAGCACTCCCATTATAAAAGTCTCTTCCACCCTTCACCCGGCACTTTTTCTGACGGAATCCAGGCGTAATGGTGACCATCTCAGCGTACAAGATGTTCATCAGCAGAAGTTCTTAATTTTTTTTATGTTAAAAACTCGAAAATCTTCAAAAATCACTAGGACACCCTTCACCCACGTACTTTTTTCAATGGACCCCAAACATAGTATATATTTTTTTGTAAGCGGAGGATGAGGCGGTTCCAACGGCGGCCATATCGGCGTACAGTATGTTCATCAACAGAAGTTATTAATTTTAAAAAAATCGAAAATCCTCAAAAATTACTAGGCAAATCGTTCACTGCACTTTGTTGAATGGATATCAAACGCTCTATATAATTTCTGAAAGCGGAGGACGAGACGGTTCCAATGGTGGCCATAACGGCCGTACAAGATGTTCAGCTACAGAAGTTATGTATTTTTTTATGTTAAAAACTCGAAAATCTCCAGAAATCATTACTCACACCCGTCACCAAGCCCTTTTTTCAACAGACTCCTCCTTTCCCACACATAAACAATTCACGTAAAATATCTTCTTTGCTTAACCTTACCTCACTGTAGAATATTCTTCTCGGCTTTTGGTGAAGGGGGTGGGTGGAGGACTATACAGGGTGTTCCAAAAAGATGTGCACACTGTTTGATTGCTAATAACTCTCTTGCTTCCATGTCTTTCGCCGAGCTTAGGGTACCATTCTTTAGAGCGAGGATAGACTTAGATTTACAGTATGGGGCGACTTATCAGCGGCTCTTTAACACTGTAGGATTACGGTGAGAATTTCGACTAGGATTTTTAAGCCATTGAAAGCCTATTAAGCCTTATAAAGAAAGCCAAACAAACCAGAAACTCTTGAGCTGGAAAAATTGAAGATGCTGATTCTGAATCTGAAAATTGCACGTCAGTACATTGTTTCTTTCATGAGTTATTTCAAATTTAGAGTAACAACTGATTTTCCATTTTTGTCAGAAATGTCTATACGCCATCAAGAAAGCTCGAAAAACTGGTGGAAAGTCATGCAGTGAAATCAAGACGCGTGAAAAACTTGCTACACAAATTTTTAGATTTTTGCGAAATTATTTCATCGACAGGCCTATTCCACAGTGACGCTATATGCTGAAAGTTCATACCGTCATCATACAGTAACGAAGAGTGATTGGTGATACGCTCCGCTTTGAAAATCTAAATTTATCCTCGCTCTACAGAATGGTACCTCAAGCTCGGCAAAAGACGTGAAAGCAAGAGAGAAATTAACAATCAAACAGTGTACACATCTTTTTGGGACACTCTGTATGTCGCCGAAAAAGTGCGGTCCCCGCGGTCATTTGCGACAAATACGCACCCTTATACATGCGCGGACATGCGTTCCTGCAGGGAATCCGCGCGGAACTCTTCCAAATTCGGCGACATACAGTCCTCCATCCGAAGGGGGTCATCTTGGTCCCGGCCAGGGGTGAAGGGAGGGTGGGAAAATTCTCACACTATCGCATCTGCGAAATGTGTTAAATAAAATCAGTTTCTTTTTCTAAAGGACGGCCAAATTTACCGAAAAGAACTCCGAAGTGTCCAAAAACGCCGAAAAGCATTGAAAGCGGCCAAAAGCGCCACGCAAAAGCCACAAGCTCCTAAAAAATCACTGTGGTCTGCAAGCTTGAAGTTATTGACACGGTCAAGTTCTTTTTTTATTTTTTTCGTGGCAATTATCGTTTCAGACTTTAGAAGAGGCCAAGTAACAGGTAAATAATGCACAACCAAACAGGGTAAGAACCTTTCAGCTTCAAAAACTAAACTTACATAAACTTCTTGAGCACTAAAAAACAGTGATTATAATGTGACGGCGTGGTTATCCAACGATGTTTTGGTAGTTATGCAATCTCATAACCGAAATCTGCCAGTTAAAGTGATTGGTATTACATTTCAGCTTTTTCGGGTTTTACATCCGAAAAGTTTTTCCTTCCCAGTGGCAGGACCTTCCAAGAATTTATGTTTTGATCCTACAATTCTTCAAAAGAGAAACCGGTGTTTTGTGCACTATGCGAACCAATTTTTGAAGTAATGCCATCTTTACGACAGACCCACTTGCAAACTTTGGTTCGAATGCAAAGAATTCAACAAAGTTACACTATTGCAAAGTTGGGCTGAAAGACTTTGCGACAATCTGTACATATTTCTGAGGCCATTGCAACTTGCTATCCTCCGCTTACAAGTTCAAAATGTGCGAACTCATGTTTTGTCAAAATATGTAGTTTAAACAAAGAAAATGGCCACAAATTCCCTTTGATTTTTTAAGACCTGAGACATTCTCATTTATCGTATCCAAACATGTAAGGGTACTTCGAACCGTCTCCCTGTCAAAACATGTCATCTCGGGCCCGAAGGACACGATTAGCAATAAATTTTGTCCTAGCAAAAGTTCTGTTGGCTATAAAAAACCTTATGCACCGCTACGACGTGATAGCGTGCTCAACGTAAAATTTACCTCAAGGTAAAATTTACCTCAGGTTTAATGATGAATACGGCCTCTGGTCTTTGGTAGATAAGAAGACCACGGAAGTGCTGGTTGCGTATCAGAATTCCTGAAATTATGCGCATAAATTCAATGTCGAGCGACAACGACATATTGGAAACGCGTGAGGGGCCAAGAGAGATCAATTCTGCTACAAAAAAATTCATGGAGATATTAGTTTCTATTTCTTCGAAGCGGGCAGTTTTGGAATGATAAAAGTGATTCATTTTTGAATCCCAAGTTAAGTTTGTGATTTTTCTATGTTACAAACACTTGCAGCTATACAAAAAAGTTTTTACACAATTTCTCTTGCAACTTTCAACTTTCTTGATCTTCAAACTAAAGTGGCGTTACCCAGGATTTCTGTTCGGGAGGGGGGGGGGACAAAAATATACTTCTCACTAGCTGGCATACCCGGCTCCGCCGTATGTTCCGAATAGAAAATTCCATTTCTTAACCGATCCGAAACAAACTTGGCACACATACACTTCGGGCCCCGGCGGGTGTCACAGTCCACTTTTCGTTATCGATTGATGTCGATTTTATCGATTTTTTGCAAAATTTGAGCTAGGGGGCTGGGATTTGGCACAGGGGGGTAATCGAGCATGCTGATTACGAATACAATGTTAGTTTTCGAAGCCGTGCATTACTCTAATCGATTTTATTGATTTTTTTCGAGCATGCTCGATTACCCCCCCTGTGCCAAACCCCAGCCCCGTAGCTCATTTGCAAAAAAATCGATAAAATCGATAAAAGTAATGCACGATTTTAAAAACTAATATTGTATTCGGAATCCCCATGCTCACTTACCCCCCTGTGCCAACTCCCAGCCCCGTAGCTCAAATTTTGCAAAAAATCGATAAAATCGATATCGATCGATACGAAAAGTAGCCTATGACACCCGCCGGGGCCCGAAGTGTATGTGTGCCAAGTTTGGTCCCGATCGGTTCAGAAATGGAATTTTCTATTCGGAACATACGCACATACATACAGACATACAGACAGACATACAAACAGACATTCAGCTTTATATATAAGATGAAGGTGCATTAGCCACTCCTCGAAAAAATTTTTTTCAAAGTTAAGTTGAACCTTATTCTGAGATTCATTTCAATTATTTATACCCTCCCCCCCCCCCTCCCCCTCGTACGCCACTGTTACACTGTACAAAAACAGATTGAAACAGGGCCTTTTACAAATTTCATAGTAACGAAAAACTTCATTGGAGAAAGGACTAGCTTAGTCTATATTACGCCGTTCAATCACTTTTTTGTTTAACATTTGATTCAACTAACTTGGCACCATTAGGGCGGGGTTCTGTGATCTAATCGAGGCCGCTCGCACCTGCGTCTCTCTCGCGCGAGTGCTCTTTGATCATCACCTAGCCTTAATTAGGTCAAGAAGCCCCGCCCTTGCCGATGCCAAGCCAGTTGAATTAAATGGTAGTTTTTGCCTCGGACTTGGGTAATTAATCCCCAATAAGCCATTGCGATAAAAATGTATGAGACCATCACTATGTAGGCTTTAAAAACATCCAAGACTCCTTGAATGCAGAAGTTCATATCCAAAGTTATAGTGTAAGCTTATCGTATTTCTACAGAGTGTGGTATTTTGTATATGTATATAAAAAAAATTGCCTCGCTTGCATACTTGAATGTTCATGTCAACATATGGATTAAAATTTTCCAAAAAGATGATCTCGACAAAGAACTCGCATAGCGAGAACGAATATTGATGCACAATCTTTAACAGAAAAGATCTCAGTAGAAAAGAAGACCTCTTCAGAGTTCAGGGTAAACCTAGTATTGAATTTAGATACCAAGCGATCTTATTCGTTGGACCCTTGATACTGCTGATGATAGGTCTGATTTTAAAGTCCTGTGGGTCATTTGAACGAAGACCGCTGGGAGGCAATTTATGTGTCCTTATTAGGTACTAGCTGGCTTACCCGGCTCCGCCGTATCCGGACCAAACTTGGCACACATACACTTCGGGCCCCGGCGGGTGTCAGAGTCCACTTTTCGTTATCGATCGATGTCGATTTTACCGATTTTTATCGATTTTTTTGCAGAATTCACCTACAGGGCTAGGAGTTGGCACAGGGGGGAAGTGAGCATGGGAATTTCGAATACAATATTAGTTTCCAGAATTATCGATTACTTTTATTGATTTTATCAATTTTTTGTAAATTTTGACATGCGAGGCTGGGATTTTGCACAGGGGGTAATCGAGTATGCTGATTACGAACACAACATTAGTTTTCAGGATCGTCCATTACTTTTATCGATTTTATCGATTTTTTTGTAAAGTTTGACCTGCGGGGCTAGGAGTTTGCACAGGGGGGTAATCGAGCATGCAGATTACGAATACAATATTAGTTTTCAAGATCGTCCATTACTTTCATCGATTTTATCGTTTTTTTGAAAATTCGAGCTAGGGGGCTGGAATTTGTCACAGGGGTGTAATAGCATGCTGATCACCCCCCTTGGGGATGATCAGCATGCTCGATTACCCACCTGTGCCAACTCCCAGCCCCCTAGCTCAAACTTTGCAAAAAATCGATAAAACCGATAAAAGTAATCGATAATCCCGAAAACCAATATTGTGTTCGGAATCCCCATGCTCGATTACCCCCCTATGCGAACTCCCAGCCCCGTAGCTCAAACTTTGCAAAAAAATCGATAAAATCGATAAAAGTAATCGATAATCCTGAAAACCAATATTGTATTCGGAATCCCCATGCTCGATTACCCCCCTGTGCCAACTCCCAGCCCCGTAGGTGAGCTCAGCAAAAAAATCGATAAAAATCGATAAAATCGATATCGATCGATGACGAAAAGTAGCCTATGACACGCGCCGGGGCCCGAAGTGTATGTGTGCCAAGTTTGGTCCGGATCGGTTCAGAAATGGAATTTTCTATTCGGAACATACGTACAGACATACAGACATACAGACATACATACATACATACATACAAACAGACATTCAGCTTTATATATAAGATGTACAGTACTGGGCAAGCGGGTAAATTGATCTTTAGACTAGTCAGTAATCCTTTTGGTATACTCTCCGATCGGGCAGGAATTATGCATCAACCTAATAATAACGATATTTTCGATGAATATCAAGATAGTTCATCGAAGTTTGAATCATTTTGACGCCTGTTCCTATCTGAAACATGTAAGCAATTTGGGTCAGAAATCAATACAACTTGAAGGTGTTTGATGCACTAAAAGCAAGATTATTGATCAGAGAAAGGCGTTTGGTATTTTTGGATCATTGAGAGATCATAGGAGTTGAAAATTACAGCTTTTAGGAAGTACGGTTTCGTTCCATATGCTCGATAGTAAGAGAGAGCAAAACATTGGAGGATAGATGGAAGTGTTAATTCACGACTTTCGTAGATTTAGGATACGATCTTAAAGTTGCTGTTCTATTTTGAGATCCGGGTATACTTCACGCGATTTCAGTCGCGTCGCGATTTGGGAATATTCCAACTGTCCATAACTCATTGTGAGCACATTTTAAAAGTACAGAAGGTAGGGCATTTTATCAACCCATGAGAGTTATACACACTATGCATGAGCAGTTTGCTAGTTTTGGATCTGAAGACTTCTAGCGAATTGCCAAATCGCGTCGCGACCGAAATCGCGTGAAGTATGCCCGGCCCTTTAGACGGGTGCATGCCGCCTTAACGGTGTGGACAATTTACAAGTCACTACTTGAACGTTGCAAAACTCTCTGTTAATAATCGAAAGTCAGGAATTGTTGGCCAGTGACGGGTAACAACCTTCATATAATTAGGATATGGAACTGTTTAAGAAATCATCTAAATAGTAATGATATGCGGTCTTTCAAGAAGCGACCAGTAGAAACCACTGTGATATCAGTGATAGATTTCAAAAATGATTAAGCATTTGGGAGTACTTGTTAGCTCATTTTTGTAGAATCTCTGCACTTAAGTGGTGCTTGATCGACAACTCGATCTGCCAGATATTTAGTGAGTCTTCGATACATATTGTTTGAGCGAGTAGCTCATGACTACTTGTTGGGTAACGTTGCTCCACCTCAAGATATAGTTTACGCATACGTATTAACAAGCGCCTTGAGGACACTTTGGAAGGCCGCAGACGTAAAATAAAAAAGCGGCGTGTGTGACCAAATATCTAATGGTTTTTCAATTTTAGTTATCTTATGAACTGGTAGGTGACTTCAAACAAGGCTAAACCATGTATGTAATATCATACGGTACTCTCTGACACTTTTTGAATGAACAAGCTAGCAAAGGTATAGTAGCTGTCTTGCCGTTAACATACCAGTATAATTACCGCCTATAACCGTTGTACCTTCCACAGCATGCAAGTTATGGCGCATAGTGTGGTCTAGATTCAAGGCTGCAGGCCCTTATTTGCTGCCAGTGCGTTTACTCTGCTTCGCAGAGGCTGGCATTTGTTCTACTTTACATATATCTCACTCATTCTCATGTAATGATTGCTCTGAAACTCATCCACAAGTCTGACCATCACGCATGAATTGTCAACGATCTCCTAATTCCGAAAGGTTTCTCGTGAAAGATCGGTATCTCTTCGAACAAAAATTTTTGCAATAAATAATGCTAAATTAATTCAGTTTTTGACTTTCATTTGTCTTTGTAGTTGCTATGAGGACATTGGCACGGTAAGCTACATAACTGGGCAAAAATCTTCTCAAATTACTGGGTAAAACTTTGACAGATTCATTATCTACGCAGCCAATATTTTTGGCGTCATTTTTGCTGGACGATTTTTGATTATTTTTAACACGTTGACAACAGTATTGCGCAATGGTGCGCTACACCCTAGCAGTTCTAATGTGTACAATGGTTCCAATTTGTGCTCATACAATCAATTCAGGCTTAGAAGTATTTCATGTTGGTCCCGCCTCCTTTCGGCAAACTCACTCTGTTACCCTCTACAGAAACTTTCTTCGTTCTCAAACCGCATAGAAAAGCTCGTAGATGACTGCGGAATCTCAAAATAACCTCAATTTTAACCCCGCCCCCGTTATGCAGCTCCATCCGTTAGCGGTGAACCACGCTCACTTTTTAAAAGTGCCGGAATTTGCGCAAAATTCACGGAATCGCTTTTTTTGGAAAGTGGGCGAGGCTTGCCAAAAGTGGACTGAGCTGCCTGCCCCAATCATTTGCATTTTTGTATCTCACGCAGGTGCATGCATACATGAAAATGCCCGGAAACGGTTTGTACACAAGGACAGCCGTTAAAAAAAAACAGCTCGTCGTCAACGTGTTAATGCTAAAATTGACGAATTCGAAATATACTTGCTAATTAAGAAGATAATTTTGCAAAAAAAAAACTACATATAGACCCTGTTTTGTGTGCCAGAAGATGCTGCCGTGTGGACCCGTTTGGCGCGCAGTTTCTAACGGTTTCCCATCGAACCGACTTGTGCTTTTTCACTTTGGGCATGCATGCCGATAGGGTGCTAGATCGAAGTTGTAGATCAGGATTTTTGCCTCTACGATTCCGTGACACACACACAACACAACGCACACAACGCACACAACACACACAACACACAACAACATACAACACACACAACACGCAACACATACACTACACACAACACACAGTACACAAAACACACAGAACACACAACACATACAACACACACAACACACACATACACATACACACACACACGTAAACATCCTTATCTCGTTATTATAAGTCATTAGCTGGCTTACCCCGGCTCCGCCCGGCCTTGTCAAAACACTATGATAAAGCTCTCGTCCCTATCCCTGTACAGCTTTCCCTGTGCCTACGTCTACATACCAACACACTATTTCCGCTGTTTTAAGAATCAGCATGCTCGATTTACCCCCTGTGCCAACTCCCCCCGTAGCTCAAACTTTGCAAACATCCATAAAATCGATAAAAGTAGCGGATGATTCTAAAAACTAATACTGTAACGTAATCAGCATGCTCGATTACACCCCTGTGCCATATCCCAGCCCCGTAGCTCAAACTCTGCAAAAAATCTGTAAAAATCGATAAAATCGATATCGATCGATGACGAAGAGTAGCCCATGACACCCCCCCCCCCGGCCCCAGCTGTATGTGTGCCAAGTTTCGTCCGGATCGGTTCAGAAATGGAATTTTATATTCAAAACATACAAACAAACAAAACAAACAAATATAACCTTCACCAAACAAATATAAACAAAACATACAAAACACACAGACATACATCAGACAGACTTTATATACAAGATGATTTATGAGCTCCTGCAAGACGAAGGCGGTCGGTTAGATGTGCAACGCGGCTGCGACACACGGCTGCGTCACAGCCGCGTCACAGCCGAGTCACAGCCACGTCGCACATCGAACCGACCGCCTTCGTCTTGCAGGAGCTTATACACATATATATATACAGAGTGTCCCAAAAAGATGTGCGCACTGTTTGATCGTTAATAACTCTCTTGCTTTCATGTTTTTTGCCGAGTTCAAGGTACCATTCTGTAGAGCGAGGTTCAACTTAGATTTGCAGTGTGGAGCGAATCACCAATCACTTTTCATTACTGTAGGATTACGGTATGATCTTCCAACATACAGCGTCACTGTGGAATAGGCGTTGTGATAAAATAATTTCAAAAAAACCTGAAAATCTATGTATCAAGGTTTTCAGGCGTGCTGATTTCAGTACATAACTTTTCATCAATTTTTCGAACTTTCTTGTTCGCGTATTCACATTTTTGAGGGACATTGGGAAAACAGTTTTTACTCTAAATCTGAAATAACTTATGAAAGAAGCAGCAGACTAAAGTGCAAACTTCAAATTTAGAATCAGCACCTTCAATTAACCCAGTGTGAGAGTTTCTGGCTTGCTTGGCCTTCTTTCTGAGGCAAATTGCGCCGTACAGTTGCGCAGTTCCTACCGTAATCCTACAGTAATGAAGAGTGATCGATGGTTCGTTCCATTCTGATCTAAAAAAATCTAAGTTGTCTTAGATAAAAAACTTAGTTGCAAATCTAAGTTGAACCTCGCTCTATAGAATGGTGCTTCAAGCTTGGCGAAAGACATGAAAGCAAGAGAGTTATTAACGACCAAACAGTGTGCACATCTTTTGGGACACCCTGTATATATATATATATTATATATGTATATATATATATATATATATATATATCAGCGGCGGACCAAGGGTGGTTAGGGCGCCCCCCGTCCCGAGAATAAATCAGCTACGCCTCCTTTTTCTTGATTTAGGGATTTGGACCAGCAAAAAAAGACCCCCCCCCCCCAAAAAAATTTTTTTTCAGAGTGCGTGGTTAACGCCACGCACATTCCTTTGACTTTCCCGTGAGATCAGAAAATTTACAAGGCACGGGAGTCAACATATAGAGTATTTGAGCTTAGTTTCTTTTGGGGAAAGCGGGCCAAGAACACCTGGCTTGAAGGCAGTGTCCCGGCAGATTTTGCACTTCCATCTTTCTGCATATTCTAGGCCTTTTCGCCACGTAAAACCCGAATTTGAGCTATGAACGGGCTGAAAAGGCCGATTTTGGGGCGTTTACCTAATCCCAAAAAAGCAGCTCGGACGAGATTTTTAAAGGAAAGTTGGGAGGTTTTCAAACGAAGACCCTGCCGTCTGCAGTTTGCTTTGGATAGCATGCACAACGAGGGAGAGCGCTTGTGGGGTCCCGCGCCGAACAGACAAGGAAAGCCGTCTGAGCGCGCGCCAGTTGGGGTTGCGCGCGCCGGTTCAAGGGCCATTTTCTTGGCCCAGGGGGAACATCACCCAGCCGGATATGTATATATTTGAAAAATGTCATTCCCCTGAGCCTAGAGAAATTAGCACCTCAAAGGCAGTGTCCCGGCAGATTCGGGGGATATAGGTGACCAGGAACCCCACCACACCTATATCCCCCGAATCTGCCGGGACACTGCCTTTGAGGTGCTAATTTCTCTAGGCTCAGGGGAATGACATTTTTCAAATATATACATACCAATTACTGTCTGTATGAAATTTACAAGCCGGGTCAATGGAGGAGCCAAGACAAATTACATCTTATTCATCTGCTATGATCAGCTGTTATATAGTATTCATTCGCGACGCTCAGTTTACTCATTAAGTCCCTAAGCAGATTTTTGCAGCGCAAGTACAAGGAAAGTGGAGGGTACTGCACAACGAAGGCGCAGAAGCAGCAGTTAAACGGGCGCGAACGCGTCACGCGCTATCTCCACCGTTGTAAACTCTGAGCTCTGCGCTAATAAACCCATGTTCTGGCCAAAAGTATTGCGCCTTACTCGACAACCCTTCCCTGGTATCCTGCATCCCCGTCATTTTTTGATTCTGAGCTGCGCTTGTGTGGATGGGGAAGTGTAAGTAAACAAGGTTAAGACAATTAAAATTGGACGTGATACAATTTGCGTAATTCATGGAAATAGGAGGCTATTACAATTGCAAAAAGTTTAATAGATTTTGTATACATCAGAAAAATCTTATTTGTCGTCATTTGTTTTCATTGACATTTCAATGACATGCGCTACTTATAGCCATGATACAAGAGAAGAAATCAAAAGATGCTAGATCCGGGGAAGAGAACAAACCACTTTCAATAGACAAATTGGTTGATGGGTCCGGTGAATTGAAATCAGGAGAAGACAGAAGAACCGGGGAAAGTGCGATGGCTTCGAAGGAAATTCCAAAACCTGAATCAGTTGCTGTACCTCAGCAGCGAAATTATGCATATGCATTTCTTTGCAGAAGTCTGAAGAAGGAAAGTTGAGTTCTGACGAAAAGGTGAAACACAGCTCCGAAGAAGTAAGAAAAGAAGATGATATTGATAAAACGGGAAAAATAAGTGAAAAAGAAAAGCAGGAAAAAGAAAAGGTTGGGTATATTATTTTCAATTTTTTGTGGTCATAAGAACTTATTCAAGGCATGGATTAGCTCTCACTTTGAGAGTTAAATCAAAAACTCTTCTGACATTCAGTGCGAATGAGCCGCGGGTTTTAGGCGTTGCGGCTAGATTTTGCGACGTCCGCGGACCTGGGGTTGGACCGCTGTAATATTTGGGAACCTTGGGTGGGCCCTCTTCGATTACTATAGCAATATCTCAATACGGTCCGCGGACGCTGCGAATCCAGCCGTAAATTGACCGGTAACCGCGGCTCCCAGTGCCTGGGTAATGCAGCATTTCCTTTTTTGCAGAAAACAGGTAGTATTTTGCAAATGTCAATTTTAATTGCCGTTAATTTGTTGAACTCTATCGATAAATTTACACTAGCAGGTGAGCTGTTTTGTCAGCTAGTGTTGTTTTTCCATCATTACGAGCAAACCAAATTGAGGAGTTCTGTCCGATGTACAAGCATTTTATGGCATAAGCGATGCCTTGGGTGGCTTATTGCCAACTGTTTATATAGTATGTGCTATAATAATCTCGCCGGTTTGGGGGTTTTTGGGAGACAGGTAGGTTTGCGGATTGACGAAATCTTCGCATGTTCTGACAGAATACTTCAGATATAACAGAAAATACTTGATGACAGGTTGCTTATTTTTTTGGACATGCACAGTTCTCCTTTCTATTTTTGTTCCGAGCAATGTTAGTGATTTCGTTTTTTAACAGTTGTGTGTGAGCATGTTTTTAGCTAAGCTCTTCCTGCCTTAAGACTTCGAAAAAACCGTTCAGATGAGGTAAAGGATAAAGGATTTCGGCTTTTTCAATACCCTCTGCTAACGTGCGCCGAAATCATTCCACTTTATAGTCGAAATGCCACTAAATGCGTGCTAGTCTTTACAGGGACCAGACCTTTATCAAGTCAGTGCTTTTGTCACGAGCTATTCACTGTGGATGCAGTGCCTTTTCCCTATTTTCGCTTAAAAACATTTGCAAATTGATCGTTATAGCTCTTACTTGCGTATAGATCAACGCCGGGTTTCATACAACACCAGCAATTCAAATTTTTCTTGGTTGCACATGGAAGATAGAATAAATAACTTGGCTTCAACGACACCTGAGACAGCAGAAATTTAGATTACAGGTGCAAAATGCGTTTGAGGTGTCGCGTCGATAAAAGAATTTCATTTAAGAAGGACAAGCTCTGCTACAGGGATTGTTTACAATCTCTATGTGTGCCTATTCCAACTTCCTTTGCAAATTTTGATTCATCCATGGACTATTGCAATAGAAACAAGACTTAGTTTGATCAGGTGTACGTAGCACTAATTTCGGCGTCATAATGGACTAATCTTCGCATATTCCATGAAGGTGTCAGTCTTTCTTATTTCGGCAGATTCTCTTTCCTTGCGCATTAAATACGTTAATATGGAAATTGCCTGCCAATGGCGGTGTATTCAAATAGCGCATCATTAACACATCATGCAATTAAACTGACTGCGACAAGTATTGCAAAATGTTCAAGAGGCATAACAGCATCAAGCCCGGTCTCAACTGGAATTATTTTTGTGTCGACCTCATAAGCAAAAATTACGGCAAAGGCATTGATTGCACGAGAAGAACCCGTGTACCACATTGATGAATCTGCAGGCTTCAGCATGAAACATTCGGAAACAGCAAGTCTATGGGCATGTACCAAACCCCTAAATATCATGGATCGAATAGAACTGCCGACTAGGCCAATTTTGGGATGTGGCGAGCCACTCCCGAGTCATGGGAAGTGATTGCGGCGATTTCACGGGATGTATCGTTGATTTTTATGAGATCAACGACACATCTTGTAATCCGATAGGATCTCATGGTTTCTGAACAAAATTGTTGTCCAACTTCTGGCAAAGTCGCGTCTCACTTGCCCAACACTGGACATTTCCTTGAGCGATTACGGCAACCAAATTCCACCATAGCTGCGCAAGTGAGTCATTTGATGTAACATCACTCTACACAAACGTTTCCAACAGTGATGCCCTTCAAGCGCTTTCTGAGATGATTGATGCTTATGGCTCTTCCATATCGATGTATGGTCTCAGCAAAGCGCGTATTATGACTACTATCAAGGAATGTCTCAACTGTGACATCTTCAAGTGGTCGGGAGTCTACTACCGCAGTTAGGGCTAGCAATGGGACAAAGGTTATCACCTGTTCTAGCTATCTGTTTAATGAGCAGGATAGAGAGACCGGGGGCTATTCAGATGTACAATTATGTTTTGTCGATATGTTGATGACTGTCTGATCGTAACATCAATACAGTCCGAAATGAATGAAATTCCGAAAAAACAATTAAAGTGTTTTCGCGTATTGAACGATTAATCTTGATAAATAAAGTTCATCAGAGGGAAACCACGGCTGGTTACCGTATCTCAATATCTTAACACACAGCTGATGTTATCATGACTTATAATAAAGCGCGTGTCTGTCTGTGTATGTGTTTATGTCTGTCTGTCACGAAATTCATAGAGCGTTTTGTAGGCAAGGTCTTGAGCTGAAATTTTGGTCATGCCCTACCAGCATATAGGTAAAAAGTGCAATAGCACAAGCTGATCCGATATTTGAGACCTTTGAAAACTGCGCGTCAAACGGGCCCACGCGGCTTTTGGCACGCCAAACTAGGTCATTAATTCGACTTTTTTCGAAGTCATGATTTGCCTAACAAGTACATCTGCGCCTTATGAATTCTAGCCCAAAAAGTGCTCAAAAATTGCTTTTTTGCGACAACAGCGCCAAGAAGTGTTGATCGCTTGGACAGTCGATTTGGCAAGGTTTTACCTTCACACTTGGAAAGATTTCTGCACGGAATTTTAGCTCAAAGTGACTATTATCCTTATGGCGACTACCAAGCCAAAACAAATTCAGTAATCTAATCAAATTCGCAGGCGTTCCCTTGCGACAAGTTTTTTTCTCCCAAAATTACCGATCTTACGTGGAGATGCTTCAAGAACGAACAGTTGTTTACTACTCATTTGTGATGTTCAGCATCGCATGGTGGGTTTCCAAGTCATCATTAAGCGAACATGAGAAAGGCAAACGGATAGGAGAGCCAGTGCGAACCTCCGCGAAGCGGAGGTGACGCACTGGTCAGATAATAACGCCCGCGTGAAATGGTATCGTAAGGAGCATTCCAAAAATATCATTTTACACGCCAAATCTGGTTATCCGGTCGCGATCAAAAGATTAGTTGTGGGCAACATGTTTGAAACAGCTGCAGAGGTTTGCAGTGGAGAGGAAGAAAAACAAGACCCTCTCAAGCTCGTAAGGAAGGTTGCAGAAAAACGGCTACTTTTCTGCAAGATCCAGACATTCGAAAAGAACACCTAATGGTAAACAACATGACCAAACTAGGGCATGATTCCCTTGAGTTTACCATTCATCTCTGATAGGGTCACAAACGAGTCCAAACGTTGTATCATACAAGCACAGCTGAACCAATATGTTGTACCCGTAAACAATCCTGCGAACAACGTCAAGTTACAGCTAACGTAATCGTCTATATGATACGGCCTGAACCACACAGAACTGCGTTGCATGCCCTAATGGCAGAGTAGGGGATTGTGCCAATTTAGCGAAATATACGAATTCGAATGATGGATTGTCATGCAATATTGGGGAGAAAGGGCGTTTACTCAGCATCCACGTTAACGAACAACTACTCAGACACTTGCACCGGCCGGCGGCCGTTCCATCATTTTGGGCGGAGCCAAATGCCGGCCAGCCGCCGGACGAGTAAATCACGCCGGCCGGCGGCCGTTCCACTGTGTAAAAGCTCTGAAAGCGCTACAAGATTGCGCGTACAGTAAGAAAATTAATTTCAAACGTTGAAGGTTCTGTCTTCTAAGCGGGAAACTTTTCTTTTTGATTTCCCTTTGTTATTGTGAGGGTTTTCCGCTTCGGTTGCGTCACTTTTTATGTCCGAAGTTGACAGTTGATGTAACCCATTGTTATGATTCCGCTTATTCAATTCTCTTTTCCAGATCTGATCAAACTTAAAGGCAGCGGACGGGCAAAATGGACCCCTGTCAGATTTTGGTGGTTTCGGGTAGTGGACCCCCCAAGTACACCGTAGCCCCAACCCCACATTCCAATTCATGCGCTAAGTCCTGAAAAAAGCGCTTCAAAACTCCACCAGCCCCGCCCACTTGCATTGAGTGGGCGTTATTGGTGGAAGTTTGAAGCGCTTTTTTCAGGACTTAGCGCATCAATTGGAAGTTGGGGTTGGGGCTACGGTGTACTTGGGGGGTCCACTACCCGAAACTACCAAAATCTGACAGGGGTCCATTTTGCCCGTCCGCTGCCTTTAATGGTGTTCGTTATCTCTTTTTTTGTATATTCTTGCTTACTTCGACTTAAATGGCGAACTTATTTTGACTTGAATGGCGAACTGTTTATTTTGACTTGAATGACGAAAAAGCCGAACGCCGGTGAATTCATGCCTATTTGCTGTGACATTAATTCTATGTTCGCATCATCTTTTTGGGTACGAAATAATGAAGTACAAACTGAATGTTCACTATTTTCAGGGGACAGCTGCAATATGTATGGTCTTTGCATTCTTGTCTTTCTGAAGGAACTATCGCCGAGTCATTGCTGACTTAATATGTGTAGTGCACACTATACACGTTAACTGACGAACTGCAAAACTAGAACCTACTCATTTCCAGTGGTTTCTCCTTGTTTCCTTGTTTCCTTTGTTCTTGTTAATTATATGTTAGTTGACAGAACACATTTCTACACTTTGTTAGGCTAGAAAATGTTGCACTGGAAAGTTAATGGTAATGGTACCGTCGCTAATAGTGCTTAGTGTGCAATCTCACATGTTAAGTTACAAATGACTCGAGGTTACAGCGAATGGTTGACTGTTCAGTTGTTATTCGTAAAATCGATTACTACTTTTAATGGATGCTCCTTTACATATTCACATTTCTTGAATTTTCAGACTACTTCTAATTGCTGGGTATTCTAGAACTTATCTGGATATCGTTTATCTGGCAGTTGCTACTATGCTGGCAATTTTTATGGTTCGGAAAGCTATCTGATATCCTAGCGCATTTCTGCTAATCTTATAGTCACAGCTGCTGGACCCACTCCAAAATTGTTAGTTTCTTAAATATTATGTAAAATAGCGTTGCGTGTTTTCCAGAGACTGATACAATCATCTTCTACTGTAATGCTTATTTTTTTGGTAGTGCTCCACTAACAAATATCATTGCAACTCTGTGCATAGCATGTAAGTTCTGGTGTCAGTTGAAAATTGGCAATAGTTTGTTTCATTTATAGGTCATCGAATGCAGCTTGTTATTGCTTACGTGTGCGTTTGAAAGTACACGAACTAAAACATTCTGTATCCCACCGGCGCATTCGGAACGCTTGTCCGACGATGTGTGAACCTGCTGCTAAATGATCTTTCCTTATAAATAAAAAGCTGCTAGATTTGTAGTCAAATGCATTCTTCGTGGATCTGTGCGACATTCTTTTTTGTCAATGTTTTTTCGTATTGTATAATGTTGTAATAAATATATCCATGTAGAATCTACCACCCTGTATTGAGATTACAGTGCTGAAAGCTAGAATTTAGAGAAAGAAATACTGTGGCCCAGTGCCATTTCGCTGCGCCACTGACGCATACCGGCCGGCGGCCGTACGGGTACCGGCTGGCGGCCAGCTACGACCGTTCCAACCGGAATATCGGCGACGGACCAGCCGGTTGTCGAACGGTCGCCGGCCGGTGCGAGTGTCTGAGCAGTAAGGAACGGGAAGCACGATGAGCCCACTCGGGAGACATAGAGCAGATCACGGCGGTAGCCATTTTTGCGTTAAGTGCACGATTTTGGCGTATGAAAGTAAAATTGCGGCTCGCAAAGCGTCGTTTATCCTCTCGCGTCAGCCAAAGATGAACGCCGAGAATAAACCTATTTATCACTAGCGATCTCATCCGTTCATATCGTACTGTCAGTTATAAGATACGACTCTTTAAGCTGTTTGTGGCAGTTCAGTCATTCGTCATCAGTATATGTAACATTAGTGCGCGGCGTTGCTGACATTGGTGAGCTGTCGTAGCATGAATCAGTACCGTCCACTTACGAATCAAATGAAACAAGTGGAGAACGATATCGTATAAAGCAGCGAATACTGAATAGCGAGACTATCTTTCAGGCCTCTGAGGAAGGCATTACTGCCGAAACTCAGGCTGAATAAATGAAACTTATAACAAACCTGTGTGGCAAAACATCACAGAAGATGTATCGTTGATGTTTCGTTTCTTTGAAATGCAATTTTTGTAAAGCCACTTCCGATATAACGATGTCGTTTTTGCGTCTTTTCGCTCAATGGAAAAGTAGTCTATCTGGGGGGGGGGGGGGAAGGGGAGGAGAGAGACTTTGCAGAGTTGGGGAATTTGCTTCTTCTTGTACTGAAATTCAAATCTTAATTCTTAATCTTAATTCAGGCTCTCTTTAATCTGCTATGCACCTGCCTACAATTGTTTGCTGGAACATATGTGCAATATTAATCTACCTCTTTCAATCTAATGTGTCTATGCTGCATGTTGATCCAAAACTCTGGTTATCGACTCCGTAACAGCAGTGTTTAAGCGCGACCCTGACGGAAAAGTGCGATAATAGCTACAAATTGTGTATGGAGCTTTGCTACGTCGTGGTTATATCAGCTGCGGACATTTTCGCGTAAGGCAAAGGGCAAAGTTCTTGCGATCTCGTCGTCACAATATTATCGTTGGGGATTTCGATTGTTTCTACGACGAAAACGCGACGACAATTGTCTTCGCAAGTACATGGGTATATTGCTCGCATTCTATGTAGCAAGGGATGGTTAGTGAGGCTGCTTTGGGGTTGCCAGGCGGGTCTGTATGGTAACTCAGACTTGAGCAATGAAGCTTTATTACTACAACTACAAACAACAATGATGTAAATCTACTGTGAATGTGAAGTGTCCCCAGAGTTTTGTCAATCTTCGGAGTGCTTCTCAGGATACTTGTGACGCTTCAGATGCTTCTTATTAGCAGGAGACTTGATGTTCCCTGCCCAGGGTACTTGTTGGATCTAATCCTACCCGGAGAAGACTTGTACAGAAAAATTGTCTGTCGGAGGCTTGCGTCCTCACAGCAGAACGCTTGTGGATAAAATCCTCGACCTCCTTCAATCATCGATATTTATACCCTTCGGGCTTGTTGACTTACAAAGAGTCATTGTTGACTAAAGATAATTTTGATAAGACGATGGAGTGATGTTTGTGATAGTTCGCCTGATCCTCGTGGGCACTCTTCTAACCACTACAATGCAAGGCAAAACGGATAAACGACGATGAGCAGTAAAATATATATATACAGTGTGCACAATCTACAGTTCGCCATTGGCGACACTCCTTAATCTTCTTACAGTCGACTTTGGCGACACTATGGCACGTAGTAAACCTCCATTCATCTCAGGTAAATTGAAATTAGTCATTCAGAAGAACTTCCTTGGGTGAACCTAATCCCGCCCACCTTCCCGTGCTTTAGGATAGTCAGTTCAACAGTCAGAAGACTGTCTGGTCAAGTGTCACAGTCAGTTCACCAGAATGCCACTTATCCGAGGTTGAATTTTAGGGTGACCCGAAGAGATAGTGTGCATAAAAGGAGGATCAGACAAATTTCCCGTAAGTTGCTCGTGAGTAACTTAGGGGAAAATTCAGTCGACGTATTCTTGCGGTTCAAAACTCCCAAAACTGTACGATTTCGGCGGCCTGAATAGGAGAGGATCAATGAACAGCTGATTGCGGCGAGAAAAGCAAGAAAACAGAATTTCTTGAATTTCTTCTTCTTTTCAGAGCTTGCTTACGTTTTTCCTTCAAAAACTGCTTCAAACAAGGTTTTTTGTTTTTTTTTATTTGCTCTATGTTCCAAAATTCTAGTTTTTCATGATATTCTCGTCAAAATATGGTGAAATCGTTTTGCTTTATTTGCTTGGCGATATCCTTGATAGCGGGCGCCATCCATCGATTTTTCGCGATAGCGGCCGCTTTCAAAGATTGTCCGTGGTGGCGCAAAAATCTGCCACTAGCCGGGTTCGAACCATGGTCTTACGCCTTGAAACCTATTCACTTAGCCGCTCGACCAAACCTGCTCAAAGTATTAAGTTTTTGGGAAGGTATAAGATCTCCATGTCTAGAAAGCGATCAGCAACCAAATCAATAGCTCACCAGATGCTAGACTGAGGCGGTCTACGTTCAACATAGGCCAGCCCCCAGCCGAGTTGCGCTGAAGGGGGGTTTACTACCGGCCTATGTCTTTGCACAAAAGCTGATTGGGATTTGTTCTCATGATATATTCCGCTTACTTACCCTCAGCGTCCACCATTGCTCATGCCAATCGTGATGATATTCGAGTACAAAAATTTTCACAGTTTATCTGTCTTTCATCAAGTCACTTCCTCTCAAGCTTACCCTTTTTTTTCAAATTCTCGCCTATGAATGTTGCCCTTTGAGAGCTAGTAGCTACAATTAGGACACTCTTCGCTAAGTTTTTGAAAGACATTTAGAAGGAATCAACTGGAAAGATGATTGGGCATTTGTAGCGCCTAGCAAAAATTTACATGTAGTTTCTTGAAAAAGAATTTCGAGCGCTGCACTTCTCATGCACCAGTATCAAAAACAAAAATTCTACTGCAATTATGCGAATAGCAAAACATGAGATTATCCATGCAAAAAATGACAAACTACATTAATTTGCAAAAAGCTCACTAAAAAAGCACCAAAAAACAAATCAGTTTAGATATGTTTAGGAAACGGGGCCCCTCAAGAATTGTACAACTACTTTCGTAAAGAATTTCTTTTCCTTCAAACAACGAGTCAAAACATCAATGCATGTCTATAAAAGACTCAAAATCTCATTTCAATCTCGCTATATCGCCCGGTCGCCGGTGACACGACACCGCTGAGTTCTACCATAATTGCGGCCGTTATTACCGAAGAATTATGCCCTAGCCGAAAACGGTCTGCGATCCGTCGCAGCGAATGACTATCACAACCGCCGCGGCGGACATATGGGCTCGCAATGAGTGACAATTGTCATTTCACAGAAATCGCAGCGCGAAGGAATCGTGACCACTATGCCCTAGGCCTAAGACATACTGTCGCCAAAGTCGACTAAAAGAAGATTTAGAATACTGTAGATTGTACATACTATATATTTAATGTTGTTCATTTGTGTTCGTTTTGCCTTATATCGTAGTGACTAGAAGAGTCCCACGAGGATCAGCCGGACAAGTCATTGCAACTTCACTTCCATCACCTTATCAGTGCTATCTTCAGTCTACAATGACTTCGCAAGTAAACAAATCTAAGGGTATAAATACCGATGGATGAGTGAGGTCGGGGATTCTCTCCACAAGTGCGTGCTGGGAGGACGACAAGTCTCCGGCTTACCGATTCTCTCTATATTAGGTTGGCACATAAGTTTTGCAACTTTTCCCGTAACTTTTTTCCTATATTAGTAGCAATCTCATTTTGTGGCATCATGTAGATGTAAGCTGCAAGTCTGCGCAAACCGTTTGATTTTTGATAACGTAGTACAAAAAGCCTAAGCATTTTTTGGAAACTGCTGAAAATCGAGGTTTCACGATTTTTTGGCAAATATGATGCCTTACGAAATCTGATTCAAACATATGAAAAAGCAATTATAGGCAGCTGTAGCTGGAAGTTGGCACATTGGAATCAGTGGAAAAGAAATGAAATTTAAACACAAATTAAGGTGAGGCGCTTTTGAGAAGTTGAACACGTCAAATGCGTCAAGTTTTAAAGGCAATTTGTCAATAACGAAGCTGCGAAAAGTCAGAATTCGCTATACTCTGCACCATAGGGTAATCCTATGCAGTAAACACGAATATCATATTCATTTGTTGCTAAAATGAAATTCATCGATCTCACAAACGAGGCCTTTTCATGAGAAACGGATCTCATTTTTGTGATCAGCATGTCAAATAAGCCCTATGGACCAAGTTTCAGCAAAATCTGATGCATTCTAAAATTTTTCCATAGTACAGTAAACCTACCGTAATCCTCACATAAGTTGGTAAAATTCGGCAAAAATGTGTGCATTAAAAGCTTACATCATATTCCTTACATTGCCAAAAAATGAATGCGCTACGTTTAAATAGACAAAAGTTATATAAAAAGTTGCATTACTCATGTGCCGACCTAATTGTTCGCTGTGAGGACACGACAAGTTCCGATAGGCAATCTTCCTCCGCAAGTCTTCTCCGAGTAGCATTAGATCAAAAAGGTATCTGGACCAGGAGCATCAAGTCTCCTGTGCACCAAGAGTCTCTGAGGGATCACGAGTATCCTGGGAAGCAATGCGAAGATTGGCACGTCTCTGGAGACACTTCACACATCTACATCTTGATTGTTTGTAATTGCATCACAATAAAGCTTCATTACTCAAGTCTGAGGTACCATACAGACCCGCGTGGCAACACTAAAGCAGCCTCATCACTAGCCATCCCTTTGCTACACATACCTTCAACAAAACAGTAATCAAAAGCTAAGCTCTGAGGCAGAAGACCTTGACAGACTAGAAAAAGTGGGAAAAGTCTTAAATTCATTTTTCTTTCTTCGAAAGTAATAACATTCCAAAGTTGTGCTGATAATCTATTCCAACGGCGCTGAGCATGTTTCTGATAAGAACAAATGATGTGTCGAAACCATGAAAAATTCGACAAAGCACGAGTAAATGGGGGTTTACCAAGAATCTCGTTGTTTTGATAACTCATTCGGTCTTGTCAGAAACATACTTTGCTGTTGGACTAGATAAATAGTACACTTTTGATATTTTTTATTAGCTTTAAAAGAAAAAAATGACTTTGAAGAAAAAAGGCCTGCCGCCGCGGGAATCAACAGAGAATCATACTGGAAGATGGAAGATGCGTCTCGTACAACTTCTTGCTCCTGGTCAGTGTGACTATACTAAAGGGTAGTAAAAACCTTTGCGGATGGATAGACAATGAAAGATCTGAATTCCTAGAGCTTTAGAATATAAAGCTTTTTTCAACTGCGTCTCACTCCCCCCAGCGATAATGTTAGGCTTGAGGCCCAAGCAGCTCAATAGGTAGCGCAACCGCTTGAAATTTGCGGCTAAAATATTCATTTCAAAACTTGACCCCAGGGCCGTATTCAGAATTACATGCATCGGCTTGCTTGCGCTGGAACCAAGAGTGGCAGTATTTTCAGATGTTCTGGTTATTTGTGTGTATTCGCGGTGCGTTAGCTTTTGGACAGACATGCTACACGGCTGTGGCACCTTCTGTTATTGCCGATCTCTATGCTGGTGTTAGCAGAAGTCGCATGCTTATGCTGTTTTATTTTGCAGTTCCAAGTGGAAGGTGATTAACGAGAATTGAATTTAACCCAAAAAAGAAAACAACTTGCAGTGGTCTCGGTTTTATGATCGGTGGTAGTGTAACAGCTTTCGCCGGACATTGGCGTTGGGGGGTAGGAATCACGTTTGTACTCGGTACGTTCTCCAATCAAAGAAAAATAGTTAAAACTATTGGATTAATTTTATCAAAGTGAAAGGCTCTATTCTTCAGGTATAGTTTGCGCTGCACTTATGGTCATTTTTTTGAAAGAGCCTGAAAGAGGCGCTGCAGAAAAAAGAAAGGGCGGAACTTCAAAAATGGCAGCTACCAGTTTCTGTGAAGATCTTAGATCTCTCTCTACAAAGTACGTTTCCCTGTAAAGTTCAAAGTGATACAATAGACAAGATTCAGTTTGACCTACATCTTCGTAACCGCAGCATACACCGCGATTCTATTCACAGTTGGTACCGTGGCATGGTGGACTGTAGTGACAATGGTTCACAATGAGGCACATCAAATGGGTTTGAATCACACACACTTATTGCCGACCAATCGGAAAGATAGATAAGTGTTTGGTGATATGGTCTCAACTAAAGCCTACCCATTATCATATTCGCTTTCCTTCACATACTCCTATGCTCTAAACTCGATAACTTGACTATATCCCTTTTTATCACCCAAAAAGTCGTCTCAACCGTTTACCTGTTCAGAGTCAGTTTGATTTTTGGCGCTATCACATGTGTCAGTGGCATTGTCGGTGTTGCCCTAGGATCGATTCTATCCATGGTATTTGGCTTGCAGCGTTTGTTCTAGAGCTTGCATTTTACTTCATTTAGCTTCTTCGCAATGGTGTAGGCCCGTTCAAATGGGTAAAGACTGTAAGATCGGATCCGATCGTATGCGGAATTGGAGCTTTTCTTGCTGCACCATTTCTGCACCTCTTTCGTATTTTTATCTCTGTCAACATCGTGACGGCATGGGTATGTTTTACACTGAGAAAATGAGGATTCATGTTATCAATATAAAAAGTTAGTCCAGTGCTCGGCACGAAGTCTCAAATATAGGTGCGATAAGGTGAGAATGAGGGTGAAGGGGGTTACAGCAGTCGCAGCCTCTCGGGTGAAGGGTGTTTCACTTGGCAGAGAAATTATAAAATTTTAACCTGGAGAGGGGGGAGGGAGGGTGGGAGAACGGAAGCCATGGTGTTCTCTCATCATTTTTCCTAGTCAAAATTTATAATTTCCAATTCCTTGCCATCACTAGTTGTCTTTTTTCTAAAATGTAAACTGATGTGCTGCTGGATTAGCACACAGTTATGTTTCTTGCCAGCACTTTGTATACTTTTTTTACGTTTTTCCCATTCTCTTCATTACATCCCCCGCCTGTTTTTGAAATTACCTCAAAACATGTGCATGCGAGAACATTTGTTTTAGAAAGAGTTAGAAAAATTTTAAGCATTTACGAATTTTCTAAAAGAAGAAATGCGTAATTTCTATAGATGAACAGCAACGTCAGCAAGGGAAATGTTTTTAGAATCATCTTGTCCACCGCTTTTAGAGAATATATAGTTTGCCTGGAGTCTGCTGAAAAAAGTTCCTGGTGAAGGGTATGGGTAGTAATCCATTTCTATATATATATAAAACTCAAAAATTGTCCGTTTGGAGGGTACGTGAGTTATAGAAACGCGTGCCGTTCAACCTATTGGGCTGAAAGTTTGCACATAGATGTTTTCGACCGCGGAGACGGTTTTAGGCTGCTTTTTGCGGCGATTCACTGGGTCCTTCTATCGATTTATTGATTTGTTTACGTTTTTCTGAGGAATTGAAGGCTTATCATGTTTAATCAAGCATTTTGCCATAGTCATGTAAAGGAGGGCGGTAAAGCTCATTTTCACCTCAGGATCACGAGGATGCGGTTTCGAAACGGATGTCCCAGGGTAGGTCATTCATAACATGTAAAAGAGGGGGGGGGGGGCTCGCAGTGCAGAGAACAGTGGCCCGGTCTAGACCGGGAAGGCCAACTAGTATATAAATAAAACTCAATGTCTGTAAATTTGTTCGTGTGTGGCTTATAGACTCCTTTGTTTGTGAACCGATGAGGCTGAAATTTGGTCCGTTATAAATGAGGCAAGGCGCAGAAGATAGGCTACTTTTCGCGACGATTCACTCGGTCCTTCCATCGATTTATTGATTTTTTTACTTACATATAGGAAAATGAAAGCTTTTCATTTGACCAAGCATTTTCCGTAGAAACGTAAACGAGGTTGGTGAGTTCCATTTACTCTTCGCAGCAGAAGGATGCAGTGTTCCGCGGCGGGAGAGCAAGAAAGGAAGACAAAATCCTCGCGACAGAAACGGCTGCACGATTCGGAGCAAGACATGAAAAAGGAAGGAGCAATGAAGATGAAGTAACAGCCAAGAAGAGAGGGTAGGTTATTAACAAGCAGGAACAAACATTTGTGCTTCCCGTCCGGGCTGGACCAGGAACGCCAGCTAGTTTCTGATATTTACGAGTTTTCAACATAAAATCTGTCGCTTCTTTAAATGAACAACTTGTACGAACTTGTGCATGAAAAAATTCATAAATTTTGTAGATAAACATATTTTACGACGAGATAGCCACCGTCGGAACGCCTCGTCCTCTTCTTTCAGAAAATATATAGCATGTCTCAGATCCGTCCAAAAAAGTGCCTGGATAAAGGGTGTGCTTAGTGATTTCTTGATATTTTCGATTTTTATCATAAAAAAATTCATAACTTTTGTAGATGAATATACTTTACGGCGAGATAGTCACCATTGAAGCCGTCTCGTCCTCCGCTTCCGGAAAATATATACATTACCTAAGATCCGTTGGAAAAAGTGTAGAGTGAAGGATGGGTGAGACTTTTATAGTAAGAGTGCTCAAGTGGAAATTTTTTTTACCACTGTGAAAAGACGTTTACTTGAGCACTCCCATTATAAGAGCCTCACCCACCCTTCACCCGGCACTTTTTGTAATGGACCCCAGGAAAAGCATATATTTTCTGAAAGCGGAGGACGAGACGATTCCAACGGTGACTATCTAGGCGTACAAGATGTTCATCTACAAAGGTATGAATTTTTTATGTCAAAAAATCGAAAATCTCCAAAACTAGGCACAATCTTCACGCAGGCACTTTTTTGAACGGATCATAGACATGCTATATATTTTCTGAAGGCGGAGAGCGAGATGGGTCCAACGGCGACCATCTCCATGTACTATCTGTTCATCCGCAAAAGTTATGAATTCTTTTACGTTGAAAACTCGAAAATGTCCAAAAATCACCAAGCACATTTTTCAGTAGGTACTTCTACGAACGGACTCTCATACTATTTAATCCCTGCAACCAGAAGGGACGTTGTTTCGCGGAACTTTCTTCGCTGATGTTGCTGTGCAACTACAGAAGCTACATTTTTTTCCTTTTGGAAGTTCGTGAATCCCTATAAATATTCTTTCTCCTTTCCGATTTCCGATATACATAAACAATTCCAGTACCAATAACTCCTTTGCTTAGCCTTACCTCACTGTTTATTTTTTTCTCGGCTTTTGGTGAAGGGAATCACTTTGGTCCCGCTTCAGGGGTGAAGGGGGGAGGGGGGAGCAAATTCTCACACCTATGGTCTCAAATCAAGGCAGAGCAACGCATTTAGGGCAAAAAGCAAGGAGGATGATATATAACATTTTCTGCATGCAATACTTGTTTTCACAGACTACCTAATTGCTTCGGAATAGGTTGCTACACAGCCGACATGCTCGAACTTGTTGCAAACAAAACATAGTAACAAACAAATGGCTTAGTTATAGCGCTTAGGTGCTCATATGACATCTCACTTGGAATATGACATCGTATAACATTACTGACGTGAACATCGAATGAGACGTGGTAACTAATGAGCAATGCCCTTTTTTGTCAAATTGTTTACCAATATAACATCCTGACGAGTGGGTAGAGTCATGAAGCACATGCTTCAAGTCTTGAAGTTTTCTGTGCCTCATAGGTTTGACGTAAGAAATTTATCTGGCCTTTTGGTATCTGCAACACTGCTCTCCTTAAAAGCCTAGTAGTAAGTCAGTTACTAATTTTACACTTTACGGTCAAACTTCTATGGCGAAGACATCTTTGCCAAGTGTAAGTCCACTATTTACTATTCCAAATTTTCGAGGTTCTAAAAAAAACTGCAAAACAATTTTCACAAAAATGCCCAGATCTTACAAACAAAAAAACATCGTAATGTGTTTAAATATTTTTCGCATTCTTTTTTTGACGATTGAGATTTACAAAGCTATCTTTCTATGCGCTTCGCGCCACAACAGTTGATGGGCTCGTCTTTGCATCGGCATTCGAGTAGTATCGTACGTTTTCATCTGTTTGAACAATTCACTCAAAACAATGCAATTGTGCACTTAATCCATACTGTAATATCACTTCAAGTGTCATTCCGATTGTTGTTCTCTAGCCATTTTGCAATAGAACAAGAGGTTTTTTTTTTCATGATAAAAGACAACACAGCATGGCTCTAATTCAAACCATTCTATGGGTTCAGCTGATATAAGGAAAATTACCTTACTTCGAAATCTTGTTTATCAATCACCAATGTTGCAGATTTGTATATTTATCGCAATCACAGCCGTATGTTTCATTTGGGCTATCTTAATGGATCTGATGATGGTAAGCTTCTAACCGCCTACATGTCCCCTAAAACAACCAGAAAACTCACAAGGGAGGTCCGATTAGTCGAAGTGGCCTTTCCAATTGAGTCTTATACCACTTTAAAGAGCATCAAACGCTGATTCCAAACCTGTTTTTATTATCCGAACATGTCTGCATTCCGAGTTATGAATATTTTTTGGTGCGAAAAATGAACGCATTTTCTACGTAAAATCGAATCTTGCGGTCTTTTCAGCGCTTTTGTAGAGCAGCGTTAAGTATGAGTGTTTTGAATAGAAGGTGAGCACATTTGAGCAATTCTGACGAATTATGTGCTAATTATGCACACAATTTTTCAACTTAAAAGATGCTCATGACTCCACGTCCAGAGGCGCTCGGCAGGTAACGAAGACAGATTTAGAATCAGCGTTCGATGGCCTTTATAGTCATTTCAGTTTCATATGAAAAGGCCACTTCGACCATTTGGACCTCCCTTGCCAGCTGAGCTACGTAAACGAATTTTGCTTGGTCATATTCTTAAGGAAGATATGAAGTTTCGACTAGCTCGATTGCTTACTCACAAACCGGAACAATTTTACAGGACATTATTATACCGCCACGTCGAAATACTGCCATCGCATGGCAAATGATGATCTCTCACGCGTTTGGAGACGCCTCAGGACCATACATCATTGGCGAGGTAGGTGAACTTATAGCACTGTGTCAATTCTTGTTCCGATTAAAGCCATTAGTATACGATTCTATGAATATACTTCTACAAATTTAACAAAAAATAGCTACTAAGCTCAAATTCGCAGAAAGACGCCGCCATCTTTTTCAAGAGTAGGCAGGACTCTATTCTACGCTACTCTCGAAAGCAAGCGGTAAATCTGCCGATGTAACATGGAGCCTAGAGAATTTTTCAGCATAAAAACTGATAAGCAAAGTTTTACCTCAAACAGAAGCTGGTTTTAAGATTTCTGATGCGGTACGAGGAGATGATACTTCACCAGGCGCCAATTTCAAGTCGTTGGTTGCGTCATTTCATCTTCCCAATCTTTTATTGTTACTAAGTGCTATTTTGTTTTTTTGTTCTGCATATACCTTTGTCAATGACAATAAGAAGTTCAAGAAAATCATGGGTAATTATTTGTGCACTCTATGATCTCCTAACTCCTACACTTGTAGCTTCGATGGACGGCATTCCCATATCAAAAGAGAGCGATGTCTTTAAACCTGATGCAAAACAGCTGGCAGCAGAAGAAAGATTGGGATCCACACAGTCTAGTCATGACCAGTAATAAAGTGTTATATCCGAATTGTTCGTACCACATCCTATTTACACATCCAGTCAATCAATATTTTGTTTGTTGTATTCTAAGTTGAGTAGGATGTTGTTGATGAAGGTTCCAAGTACTTTCAGTGTTCCGTGTAGCAGCAACCGCGATCACATGGGCACCTGGCCTCAGTGCACAAATGTTTATTTCGGATGGCCTACATGCATGGTGAATATGGTGCTTCCATCGCTAAAGCATAATATTGCAAAATATTGCACAAATCGATTTGGCAGAAAAGTTTTGCTGAATTTTCAGATTTATTCAGTTATGCGAATTCGCTACAATCTTTGATTCTACGAAATGATTTTTCTCAAAAAGAACTGCATCCTCATTGACGCAAAGGTGTGAAGACAGACAATATACCTCGAAACAGTGTTTCACAGTCTATTTTTGATTTGTATTGTAAATCAATGTTGCTATACCAGAGAAAAAAGAGCAAAGACTCTATCAGGACCTCAATGTAATTGTTTAGGTAACAGTTACTGGAAAGCCAGAATACATGTTCGGTTTTTACTTCCAATGCAAGTTTGGCAGGCCGTTCAAATAACGCCCCTTACAAAAGATCTGTATTTTTTTAATATTGATTCAAAACTATATTTGTCTTTAGCTCTAAACACAAGAATAAAATAAGCGCAGAAAAGCGTTGATCACTCAGGCCCGTGTGCATGTACATCCCTGCTGGGAAGTGGAGGAGATCTGAAAAGCGATGCATATCTCGCCACTTCCCGTACCTTTTTCTTCTTTCTCTATCTTGCTTATGAGGTTTTTCATACACTTGTACTTGCGCATAATGATTTCCAGGTTACTGCCATACAATATACCCTCAGTACGATTGTAAAGCGTTTTCATTGACCTGCTAAGAATGTGTTCGACAGTAGAAGTGGAATCTGAAGAGGGTGAATTTTTCGATCATCCCTTGGGGATCACACAAAATAGTGAAATTCAGTCTTGTATGGCAGTAATCTTGCATCAATGATGCGCAGGTATTAGGGTGTGAGAACCTTCATAAGCAAGATAGAGAAGGAGGAAGAAAAGTATGTAGAGTAGCGAGATATACCGCACCCCCTCTCAGATCCCTTCCCCTCCCCAGCGGAGATGTGTGTGCGTGGGGCCTTAGAATTACAACCTCAAACAAGGTTTGTCGCTTTTTTGCCTCAGAAAGCTTTCACTAATTCAAAAATCCATTAAAATGAAAGTAAGCAATAGGGAATGCAGCTGCTGCTTATTTGATGGTCAACCTTTTGCAGTTGATCATCAAATAAAACACAGAAAATCTACTCCTTAATCGCTGACCCGAGCTACGAAATTTGCACTTCGGTACACTTCGTATCAGATCGTAGAAGGTATTTCATTTAGCATAGTCGGAGTTTAAAGTTTTCGACCAAAATGTACAAATGGCTTGTCAACGTGCAAACTTTCTGATCCGGACCAGCGCGAAATTGGCGGCGCGCGCACCAACACCGTGGTTTTGTCTACGTCTACAGTACGCGAGTGGTTGTTATAGAATTCCTGTTCTGCCCTCATTCTCTTCAGTCTCTCACAAGGGAAGTGTCACAAATCGCAGTGGCCATTTGAGGTGGGATGGGTGGTGTGACACGTCCCTTGGAACGCCATTTCCAAAACCACCCTCGCTAATTGCAGAAGAACTCTGAGAGGAAGGGGGCTACAGGCATTTTTCCGCACGAGAGCCAGCGCGCCCCGATTGAAAATGATTGCCACCCTGCAATCACCCCTGCAGGCGTAGCGCGCCGGCAAGTTGCTGACTATCGTGCAGACGTATGGAGGTTGGAATTCTGTTGGGCATTATTTCTGCAAATCAAATACTTACAAGAAATGATACCTAACTTAGCCCCGCCTTTTGGCAAGGGACATATATATTCTGAATCAGCTTCAAACGCTGATTCCAAATATGCTATCCTTAGGTCCCGTGCGCTATTCCGAAGCGAGTTATGGACTTTTTCCTGCGCGAAATTGGCATACTCATCGACTTTCTGGCATCACGGCATCGTCACCTAGGTGCTAATACAATTGCGTTTCACTTTTTACAGTGATAAAAGATTGGATTTGTGTTATTCCGATATCTCAGAACCTTTTTCTTGCAGATTTTTACCTACAGGCGGTCTTCCCATGATCAGTAATATGCCAATCTTGCGCAGGAAAAAGCCCATAACTTGCCTTGGAAGGGTGCTCGGCAGTTAGGATTAGCATATTTGGAATCAGCGTTCAAAGCTGATCCAGAGTATATGTAGTATATGACTCCTGCCAAGAGGTCGAGCTAAGTTAGGTAGCTTTCCTCATTAGATACCTAGATACTTAGATGGCCCGTCTTCACGTGGCGTGCGGGCCCCAGCACAAAAGTCTCCATGTCCCTTGGTTGTCGTCGGTGGCTGCGTCCACGACTTCCAGGGACAAAATTCGTATCCAGCTAATTTCTCAGCTGGTCAATGTGTTCCACGAACACGTCTGCCCATCCTGTTGGTGGTCTTCCTCGGGGACGTTTGGCTTCGCGAGGAATCCATGCAGATGTGTGTCCATCTGTCGTTTTCTCATGATGTCACCTTTAGTCTGTGTTTCGCTTTCGCAACGTATTCCGCTAGATCACGAAAATGGGGCATTCTTCTCATATCCGTACTGCAAAGTCCGACTAGATGTTGCTTGTGCCGTCATCTTCAGAAGACTGCGCTCGAGCGCTCTGTGGGTGGCTCTTAGAGCCTCCGACATGACTACGGTGTCGGCCCAAATCTAAGCTGCGTAAAGTGCGCCGGCGGAACGTTGAGTCGAAAAGGTGGGCACGAAGCTCCGGGTCCGTCAGTTGGTCGGTGGCTTTCTTTGAAGGCCCGAAGGCGGCCGGCTGTTTTTCTTCTCCTGTTAAGTTCTTCCCACAGATCGCTCTCTATGTGCATTGAAGAATTCTCTATGATCATCGTCTGAGATATGTAAGAAGACGTCTTCATGACAAGGGTGCCTACCAGTGGCGTACCGAGGGGAGGGCTTTCCCCCCCCCCCCCCCGAGAACGGGTCGCGAAACTTTTGAGGTTACTTACATGGGTTATAAAATTGTGCAAATGGACTTGCACTTGTAAATAGTTAAAATAAATTTTAAAATTTTTTAAAACATTTTAAATTTATAAAAAAAATTTTTTTGAAGCGTGGCTGAAGCCACGCCCCCTTTTCCCGAAATTTCGGACTTCTGAGCCCGCGAGAATTTTAGGGAGCATACCAAAAAACTTTTCGGAGTGCGTGGCTAACCGCGACGCACCTTTATCGGAGAAATTTTTTGTCGCCCCCCCCCCCCGAGCCAAAATCCTGGGTACGCCACTGGTGCCTACCAATTCCATTTCTGCATCTTTCTGCATCAAAATCTTTCTCCTAATTGATAAAGGTTAGGACGAGAAACTTTTGGTACTCCCGGCAGACTTCTATGACCCTCGAAACTGTCTGGATGTGGTCCATGCAGCTGAATCCTCTGCGAAATCCAGCTTGTTCTTAGGATTGGGCTTTATCCAGTGTCTTACAAAGGAAGTCACTTAACTTAGGTCGTCCTTTTGAAATGAGACACATATAGCTGCAATCAGCTTGAAACGCTGATTTCAAATCTGCTTTCCATAGCTGCGAAGCATTACTCTGAAGCGAGTTATGCGTTTTTTCTTAAGCAAATTGTGTGTGTTGACCGACTTAGGCATGCTAAGGTATCATCATCTAGGTAGTGGTTCATATGCATACTACATCTATCAAAGCCAAGTGACTCAGATTGATGTTATTTCAATCTTCCACCACTTTTTAGCCATATTTTCATCGGAAGACCCTCTTTCCATATCAAGTTATCTGTCAATGACACATACTAAAAAAACTCATAACTTGCTTCAAAGGGAAGGCTTCGCAGCTAAGGACACCATATTTGGAATCAGCGCTCCGAGCTGATTCTAAAAACATGTGTCATTTCAAAAAATCGACCTAAGATAAGTGACTTCCCTTATTAGATATGCGAGCGAGGGCAATCTTTGTGAAAAACTTGTACAACACACTCAGCAGGCATGTTGGAGGTAGTTTCGAAGAACCTCCCTTTCACCCTTCTTGATGAGAAGGACGGTGACGGTGACATTCACTGGTCGAAAATCCTCTCCTTCTGAAGTTAAGATGCCAAATGCGTCGCGAACCTTGTGCAAACGTTGTCCACCAGCTCGCAGAAATTCGACGGAAAGATGGCCTGGTTCTGGAGCCGTGGAGCCTTCATGGTTTGAACCGCCACTTTAGCAAGTAGAGTTTGTGGTGATACCTCTCCAATGGTAACAACGGGCGGAAGAGGTTGGTGTAGAAGTTCTTCGCAAGATTCAATCTTTCGGGAAGGAGTTGGAGTCCCGTCTTCGTTCAATGGTGCAGCCAGCGGTACGGGTTATTCGCAGAGTCCCTTCGGCCCTTCTTTAAACTTCGTCTTCCTTCGGCTGCTTCCAGTATCTTGGTTTGCCTGTACTTCCTGAGATCCTCCTGCAAAGCTGCACCATTGCATCTGCAAATGGCGTTGGCTATCGGTCGCTCGAAATGCACTCGGATCCTGCCTCAGAAATCTTCTTCTTTCGAGCAATTCCTTGGTTGTCTTCAAAAAGCGTTCCAAGTTCTTCTAAGAAGTGACTGAGGCGCACTTTCCACAGCCTCGCAATTTTTTCAGAAGCCGGTCGTAGTCGTTGGGTCCTCCTCGATGGGCCAGTCACAACTTGATATGAGCTCTTCAAGCCTGTCACCATTATGGCGATTTACTTCTTCTTGCGACACTGTGACAGATTCTTTTCCAGCTTTCGACTAAATCGCATTTTCGCTCGAAGAAGGCGGTGATCGGAGCCACTGCAAAAGGATGGAACTACTGAGACATCAAACAAGCTCCACCTTCAGTTGGTGAGAATGTGGTCGATCTCCGCATGAGTCGTTCCGTTAGGCGATTCCCAAGTCCATCGGCGATTTCTCTCTTC